ACCTTACGTGTTGAGTGATACACCGGTTTTATTTTCCAGGTTTTATTGAATAGTCTGACTTGTTATCCACTGCATCACATCAGTACCCTTTATTTATTGGAACAGCAAATAGAGAACTATTTGTTTCCCCTCATGCCAAATATCATGAAAAGAGAGGGTGGCTTTTGCCTTTGAAACGTTGCAAATATGTAGGTAGCAATCACTAGTTTAGTAATTGTACAAAATAGATGTGTATCTTCCATAAAGTGCTGTAGCAGCCTTCCGTGTACCTCTCCTGTGCTCCAGAGCAGTAGTGCACCTGTCCTTCCCCTTTGCTCCTTGACTTGCCTGGAACCTCTGCGTGCTGGGCCCAGGGGAACCTGAGACTGGCGACCCGACCTCTCAGCTTTATGTGGAGCAGCACTAACCCCAAGCCGTGGTTTACTGCTTTTTCTTTTATCTTTTACTTGTCTTTTTGCTTCTCTCCACCTTAACCAAGATTGATTGCTTTTCAGTCGTGACATCTGATGTCTCTGCCCTGGGGCCTGTGGATAAGGTTTCCTCATCTCATGTGCCCTGGGCATTACAGAGGGTTGTTCAGCTTTGTTCCCCGTGGCTCTCCTGGAGAGCTGTCTCCCCCCTTTCTTGTGTCCCACCCACATTTCATATCGACATTGAGGGGCCTGCTGACATCTGTGACAAATTCTGCTTCCCCTGTTTTTACATAATTTCCTCCTTTTATATTGATGAAGATCTAGATGAAGGTTTTCAGGTGGTAGCAGGAGCCAGGCACAAGAGTAGGAGCTAAGCATTTGGTGAATGAAGGAAGGAAAAATTGAGTTGATTAATCATGGGAAAGGCTGTCTTGTAAAATAATTACTTTCTGACTAATGGAGTTGTGTAAGAAGTAGCTCCAAATAAGATTCCCTGTTTGGATTGGAAGGCTGTCCTAGGTGGTTTGTAAGATTCCCTCCTACCTTAAGTCAGGGAGCTGACGCTCTTGAGTGTCTTATCACAACCTCGTAAAATCCCTTTTTGTTAAAAAAAAGGAGACAGAGCCATAGACTTGTGGATTCCCAGGTGGGACATGGCAGAGCCAGGATTTGCACCCAGGTCTGCCGGGCTCCCAAGGCCAGCTATTCACACATCATGGTGCGGTCATGCACATCAGTCTGTTTGCTAAGGCCAGTTTCCTGCGGTGACATATCATAGTGGACCCGCAGCTTTTGCTGTAGCTATTGTATAGTACACCTTTACTATTTGGAAGAAATACATCCCAAGACCTTGTGAATCCCCAAATTAAGAAATACTATAATAATATAACTTCTTTCAGAAGGTACAATAACATAAAACAGAAACATTTTACATGGCCCCTCCAAACGCTTTTTGAGAGTTACTGTAATTAAGTATTAAGAACATGGAGAGATCAACAAACTACATTAAATCAGTAATTGCCAGTGGTGGGGGCATTGGGGTTGCTCCTCTGTGCCCTTATCGGCCTCGGGATTTGTGGAGCCCAGAAGGGCTGTAGGAATTGCTTCCTCCAGCAGCCCTGCTCTGCCCTTCCTTCCTCTCTTTTCCCTAGAGGCTGACAGTTTATTAGCGGTTCAAGTCCTATCTTGTAATTTACTTTTTGAAAATTTAAGTACTAAATACTGTTTAAATAGCCAGGGCTGAAAGGAAACGTGCATTGATTATATGTCTTTGTGGGTTGCAGTGTGGGGGGTATGTGGGGCTGATTGAGTGGGTCGGAGAGGGTTAGAACAGTTGTGCTGTTCTTTAGTTTTTCCTCTTGTGCTTATGAAACAGGATTATGTTTTTGGATTTTGGTTTTAGTTTATGATGATAATTATCTGGATCAAATATTTAAAAAACTACTTAATATCTGTTTCTTCTCTCATATGTAAATCAGTTATTTATTTTTAAAGGACTGTCAGTGACATATAAAATAAAACATATGGTACCTACTAAAATTTGCAGTAGGATCTGTAACTTATGTGTAGACTCAGCGATACCAAGGAACGACAGAGTGAGTTTCTGTGTCTGCGAGGTAATGAAGTCAGCCCTTCTTTGTTTTGCTCTGCTGTGACAGCTGACAGTTCAGGGATTGTCTGTGTGGCTTGCCTGATGTCCTCCTGTGTGACACCATTGTTTGCCTGGACTTGGCTCTCCACGCCTCATGCCTCCCGGGGAGCTCGCACTGGCCAGGCTCAGCCCGGGTGTTCTTCACGGCTGTGGAGTAAAGGCTGCTCTTTCTGGGAAAGCTGCATGCCTTCTCTGTACCAGCCTTCGTGGGATGGAGCTGTGGGCACCGAGCTGTGAGGTCTCATGGGGTCCTGCAGCAGCCAGAGTGTGCAGAAGTCAAGGAAGGGAAGAAAGGTGATGCCTGGAGCACATGATGTGCTGCTGAGCTCAGTGGGGGATGTGTGGCCTCCTGGCAGAGGGGACAGCCAGCGTCAGCATGGCTCAGTTAGCCCAGTCTTGGTTGTGTGTTTGTGGAGAAGCTAAGTGTAACTTGGATTATTTGGATGCAGGTATCATAGAACTTGTCTTTAGCACTTATTCGAAGATAATATTTATGACTCGTAGTTGAAATTAACCAACTTAACTGTCTTAATAAATGTAGCTTTTTGGCAGAGAATGCTTTGGCATTGTTTTTGGTACGTTCTTACAGGAAGCTTTCATATCTGCGTATATGCCTGAGGCTATGATTAAGGAAATGTCATTTTATTCTTCTACTCATTATCGTGCTAATGATGTTTTCTCAGGTGTTTTCCTTTTACATCACAGAGGAACTGCTTTTCTGTTTTATAAAATAGGTGTATAGGTTTTCAGGCATGCTCTAAGCAGTGTTGCTAATAGTTTCTAACATTTGTAATTAAGACACGAAGTCGTATAGTTTAACTTTCGTTTTAACATTGTAAAAGGACTTTCCGTCTTATACATCTGTGACGGATTTTATTTTTAATTTTTTTTAGTTCAAGGACCCATTATACTTGGCTTACTTCATGTTATTTTTGAAGGATGAGCTCAGATTTAAAGTATACTTCTCTGATGAGGCAGTGGCTGGTGTCACACTGTGGTCTCTGTCCACCAGTCCTTTGACATTTGTGTCCAGTGAGTATTTCTTCGAAGGAAGACATTGTGATCGTAGGATCAGCACCCAGATTTCCCCACAAAGGAATGAACTCCCTCCTCTCTTGGGCTCGCCCCACCAGTCTTCCATGAATAGACCCATTCAGGGAGAAACCAGAGTTCAGTGTCGCAGTGAAAGAACCTCTGATTCTCTTCCTCTTAAATAGCGTAGTATGTAAGTTATTTAATCAGGTTTGCATTTACTTATGAATGACTGTACTCTCTCCTCAGAGCACACAGAACATGGTAGTCACAGAATAATAATCCATGTTGCAGTTATTAATGCTGAAATCTAAATTTAGCTTAATAATTTCTTTTGAAAGTTTAAACATACATTTTGATTATCAAAAATCGGGGAGAAAACTGAACATGTTTGATATCTTTATTCTGTATAATTTCTTTCATATGATTAGTTTAGGATGATTTGTCAGTTTTGGACGACAAATAGCACATCTTAGTGCATGTAGTAGATCCTCAGAAAATACGTGTAATAAGACTTTCTGATTAAAGAAGATACTGGCTCTCTAACGGAGTGGGATGAAAAGATGGTTGAGGAAGGGAGGTCACTTTCTTGGCTTGTGTCAGGTCCCAGGGAACCTGACTCCTCCCCTTAGTCTGGTAGTTGGAGAGGGCAGTGTGTGCAGTGTAGTGTCGGAGAGATCTAGGTTCACATCCTGCTCCGCTGCTCACTGGCTGTTGATTTTAGATAAGTTACTTAACCTGTCTAAGCTTCAGTCTCTTCCTCTGTAAACAGAGAAGTGTTGGCGAGGACTGAAGGTGCTGTGTGTAGAGCACCCTGCTCAGTGAGAGAGTGCAGTGAGCATCGGATCGGCAGTCATTGTACCCCTGTCTTCGCACCAGGCTCCACCTGCAGACTGTGGCCTTCTCATCTTGCCTGTAGGAGCCTCTGCTCTTGGATGTTAACTGAGGGAAAGAGGCTCAGGTTTCAGTTCAGCTGTTGTGCACTTTATATTTACCTCTCAGCTTTTAGGAATTATTAACTGATTTTGGCTAAATTTGTTACACTAATGTAGGGTATTAGGAAACATTTTAATTTTAAGGTTGATTTATTATTATTCTTCTATCTTTAAAATAAAGTAGTGGCTATTTAAAGTTGTTTTACACTGATAGACCTTTAATTTTTAATAAATGTTAGTGTGTAGGGTGATCTGAGACTATCATTTAATGAAGGTCTGTAGTTCCCAGAAATTGATTTAGATTTGCTAGATGCAGTCTAAAGAGTGAATTCCATGTTTTTTTAGTTGAAATATACTTTACCTTTGTTAAAATGTGTAACAGCTCAGTGAGCTTTGACAAATGTGTATATCTGTGTAACAACTACCCAAATGACGATATAGAGCCTGTCTGTCACCTCAGAAATTTGTCTCATGTCCTTTTCCCCATTGTCACATCCTCCCCTTCCTTCTGTTTTGATTTCTGCGGTCATAGATAAGTTTTGCCTGTTCTTGGACTTGCTGTAAAATGGAATATGCAGGATGTCCTTTTTGTGAATGGCTTCTTTTGCACAACACAGTGTTGTAGAGATTCATCTGTGCATCTGTGCTGTTGTGATTATCAGTGGTTTCTCCTTTTTGCCTAATTGGCTTGGCATTACTTATCTGATGATGGAATTCATTCTGGCCTTGTTATAGGTAAACCTGTATCAAATGTGCTTGGCAGTAAAATGAAGTCAGTTGTATAGCCTTAGTAAGAATTCATTCCATGGATTTAGTAGTTAATAATCACAGGGAGTGACAGTATTAAACACATTAGTATTACATAGAAGCAACAATATGAAATGAACAATGGTTCAGTGAACGGCGGATGAACTTTCCAAAGCTTATAAATCTTGACATCAAATAATACTTATTCATCGTCTGTTGTAGGTGCTACAGAATATTTTGGAAACAGAAAATGAATATTCTAAAGAACTTCAGACTGTGCTTTCAACCTATCTACGGCCGTTACAGACCAGTGAGAAGTAAGTTAGATGGTAAATGTGTTAACTGTAAAATAGTTGTCACCTTGGGTGGGTCCCTCGTATTTTCAGGGAACAGAGGGTGAAGTACTGGAACGGAGTTCGGTGTGTAGTTTGCCTTAGACACAAGCTGTTCACTGGGCTAAGACTTCAGTGGGGCGTTGGGATGGGAGAGGAGAGGAATATAGGTAAAATTGTTTACGTATTTTTACTGCTGTTTTTCTTGGCTCTAGGTTAAGTTCAGCAAACATTTCACATTTAATGGGAAATCTAGAAGAAATATGTTCTTTCCAGCAAATGCTTGTACAGTCTTTAGAAGAATGCACCAAGTAAGTAAGATGCTAAAAATTTGCAAAATTCAGATTGATATAACTGGTATTTAAAGGATTAAGTTTAACATAATTTTAGAATTCATAATTTTTTAAAGATAGAAACTAGGTTATAATGACCCTTTTGAGTTTATCAACTTTTATAGTAAAAGCTGTGTTTTAGACTAATTTTTACAGAAGGAATCTTTGAAGGAGGGATCTACTGACTATTCAGAGAAAGGAGAAGGGCTTCCCGTGAGTGGTGATTTTTAGGGTGTTGGGGAGCAGGGGCTAAGTAGGGGATGCAGAACCCCAAAGAGGAAGAGAGACCGTCATGTGAAAGAACGTGGAGGTGCTGGGAGCTTCGTTCCTTACCTGCCGCATGTAGTATGTGGGAGGCAGGTCTGTGCACCTCAGGAGGCCAGGTCTTCCTAGCGTCGTCTTCCAGCACATATAGTGCGTGGCTGTCAGGAAGCTGAGAAATTGTAAAGCACAACCCATGTGACATGCTATTCTGGTGTATTAGGGACTTGCTTTTGTCACTTCCTTGCTTTTTTTTGGTGGGGGGCATGTTCTGGATGATGAGCCATCAGATTTTTTCCTGTGTGACTATTTTATGTTCTTTAACATCAGACATTAAAGGATATTTATTAAGTGGCTGCTAGGTGTTGGATGACTTAATCATAATGCACCTGAAAAGTTTTTAGGTTTTAGTCCACCAGGTGACATTTAATATTTATTTACTTGTGGACCTGATAAAGGAAGGTGACACGTTTTATTTTTGAATGATCTTCATTTCTATAACCACCAGAAGGGCCAGAAAACCATTTTGTGTTGGCCTCTGGTTTTCCTTTCAGCGTTCTGCCTGTCTCTTTTCTCAGTCTTTGAAGTGGTGAGGGCTGGCCTGCCCTCTGTGCCACGAGCTCTTTAAACTAAATTGGTAACAGTTTGCCACGCTGCGAGATTTGTTCCCTTAACTTCAGCTTCACGGGTCCATCAGGGCACTTGATACTGGAAGATGTGGCAAGGAAAGCTGAATGCCAGTGTTACTAAATACTGGCTTTCAAACAGAAATGCACATTATTTCCCTTTTGCAGCATTTTTGGTTTGTACAAAGTGGCATTACTTACATGACCAGGGAAAGAGTCGTTTGAGAATCACTGTGGTGACTCACCTTTTGATGAGTGGTCATTTGCCAGCAATTTGGGGTCTTTGTAAGATGCTAGCCCTGTTGTGCACAAAATGGAGGTAAATGTTTGCCTCTGCTTTTCCCACTGGCGGTAGATAATGTGGACTAAATGAAGACCCACGTAGTACGTTTGCAGTACCCCTTTTGAGCATCATATCAGCCCTGTGAGATAGTTAGGACAAATGTTACTGTCCTCGCAGAATAGATTTAAAAACTGAAATTCAGGGAGGTAAATAGGCTTGAAGTCAAATATCTAGTCAAGCTTTAGTCTTATGTAGTCTCTGTATTTGGTGTGGCTTGGGTGTTATTTCAGTCAAGTTCCTCAAGGTTCTGGTACATAGATATTAGGTATTGGATTTTCCATGGTGAGATGGAATGTTTGAGACCAGCTTTCCTTATCAACAGTTTCCCTTCTCTTTTGTATCAAGAATATTCTGAAAGTTTTCAGAGATTTGGACAGAATTCAGAGACAATTCCCTCTGTTAGAGAGAGACAACACATTCTCGAACACTCACTCAGGATTTGCCCCCTGAGTTCCAGCAGCTCAGGTTGAATCAAACCCTGTGACTTTCTCTTGGGGTTGTCCCACGTAACAGACTTGGCCACCATTTTCCTAAAAGCAGAGAAAACGGGAGACAGGCCCTGCACCCTTTCCTTCTCCAGACGCCAGCCCTCCTGCAGAATCTGCCTACTTCTGATGGCTCTCTGGTGCCTTCAGGTAGTTGGTTTTATATTTTGTTCAGTTTCTTTTGTTATTGGCAGGAGAGTCAGTTCAAGAGGAGTAACTTGGCTATAACTGGAAATGGAACCTCGTAGATTTAGAGAACCCAGTCCTTTTCTTATTTTTCAAATCACGATTCTTCCCTCAGCGTTGTAGGCTCCTTGGAAGCATGTTTTCTGTAGCAATGGTCTGTGCTCACAATTCAAAAGGAAATGAACTGTGGGCTCCACACTCATGGAGTTTGCTGCATTAACACATTCATATTTCTGTCACTTGTATATGTGACTAGTTTTTCTTCATTGATTTTTAAGTCCATTCAGAAACATCCCCGATATGCTCGGTGCCTTCCCCATTCATTCTCTGCTAGTTTGTACAGTGCCCACTACATGCCAGACACTGTTCTGGGTGCTGATAAGACAGATGTTAACGAGACAGAGATGACACCGGCCCTACTGGAGCTTGTTGTCTGGTGAGGGAGACAGATAGTTAAAATTATATAAATAATTACAAAATGACAATTGTGGAATTGCTGTGAAGGAAAGCATGCAGGGTGCTACAGGCAAATTTCAGGGGAAAATAACCAAGTACCGAGGGGTGAATAGGAATTAACCAGGAAGGAACAGGGGAGAAGAGAGGTTTTTTTCCTCACTGCAGCCACTTTGCCGATTCTCTGACACCAGTGGGTGTCCAACAGTTCATCCACCTCTGACACTAACTGCCTGGAGTCAACACAGACCCCCACAGCTCAAGGGCTCAGTCCCACAGGACTGCCCCCACTTCAGACGTCAGTCACAGTGGGCTGCTCAGCCACCTACACTGCTGTCTAGTCAACTACAAAGTCGAGGGTTCCCACAACACCCCCTCCAGTTTCAGTAATTTGCTAGAGTGACTCACAGAACTCAGGAAAGTTGCGTTACTTACGTTTACTGGTTTATTATAACGGATACAACTCAGAACCAGGCGATGGAAGAGACGCATAGGGTGAGGTATGGGGGAAGGGGCGCGTCGCTCTCCTGCCCTCTTTGGGCGTGCCACCCTCCCAGCACCTCCGCTGTTCAGCACCTGGAAGCTCTTGAGCCTGTCCTCTAGGGCTTTTTATGGAGGGCTCATTATATAGGCATGATTGATTAAATCGTTGGCCATTGGTGATAACTCCATCTCAGGCCCCTCTCCCCTCCCTGGAGGTGGGGGCTGAAAGTTCCAACCCTCTAATCATGTGCTTGGTTCCTCTGGCAGCGCGCCCCATCCTGAAGCTGTCTAGAGGCTGCCAGGAGTCACCTCATTAGCCAAACTCTGGTATGGTTGAAAGAGGCTCATTGTGGGTAACATAGGACGTTCCTGTCGCTCGGGAAGTTGCGAGTTTTAGGAGCTCTGTGCCAGGAACGGGGACAAAGACCAAATGTATTTGTTATGGTACCATAGGAGCAGAGAGCCCCAAGGTGGGAGTTCGCTTGGCTGTAGCCTGTGAACAAGGAGGTGAGTGGGACAGTACAGGGGACAGAGTGAGGTCACCAGGCCCTCGGGGCCTTTTATAGCATTTTAGACAACTTTCAAAGAGTAGTTAGAAACCATTAAGGGGTTTTAAGCTTGGCAGTGTCGTGATCAGCATTCTTTGTAAAAACAACTATCTGCTCTGTGAAGAATGGTGGGGGCGGTGGAGGGTAGGAGGATGCAGGAGACCAGATAGGAAGCTGTTGGGTTTTATTAGGATTTTTTTCCTGTTTAATAAATACCTCTTGTCTTAAAAGTCACTGACTAATAACCATTTGGTAATGATTTTGTGAAAGTGAGTGTTAGTAAAGTTGACGTCTGTTCTTTTATAAAAGTTACTTTATAAAGAATTTTGTTGAGGTTGGATTTTCTAGTTAGTACCTCTGGGAATGGAGTATGTTCCTGTGGTCCTCTGCGGGTTGTACTCAACCACTCTTGTCAGGGGAAGTGGTTCAGCCTCCCTCGTACACTTACTCATGCATTCATTCATTCATTCATTCTCCGCCTGTGTCCCCCTCCCCCTGTGCCTAGTACTCTTGTAGCTTATACACTTGTACTCTCTTATCCTGAGGGAGCTCAGACTGGGGGAAAGGCAGAGACGGTGGTCTGCAGGGAGCACTTTTCAAAATGGTATTTATACTTTTTCTGGTTATAAAATGAGTTACAAACTCATTATAAAATATCTGGAAACTACAGAATAGGACAAAGGTGAAAATTAAAATCACCAACAGTCTTTTCATCCAGAGGTAATTATTGTTAATATTTTCCTCCATTCCTTTAAACTTTGCTTTATAAGAGAATGCGTGGATAATTGGGCCCAGATTTAGAGGCCGCCTGTTTGATTTGGGCTGTGAGGTGGTAGGATTTAGGCCTGGTGTCGGGGAGGTGTGAGTGGTATGGGCGGGCCTCCTCTGTGGACATCTCTTGCGGGAGACGTGAAATAGTCTTGCACGTTACATGATTGGATGTGTGCAAAGGGAGTGCTCCAGAGAGAACTCTAGACGAATTCTTACCACTTTAATGTCAGTGGGAGATTTTCTAAAATACCATGTTAACGGCTGCTCATTTGTCTTTCTTATGGCTGTACCATTTTTAGCCATTACTTAATTTTTAGATGCATTTTATTTTGCTTTCGTTAAGTCATATTATAAATAACTATATAAGGTGAACTTCCTTGTATAGACCTATCATTTATTGAATTCTTGATACGGTCCAGGCACTGTTCTTCACATGTATTAACTTATTTAATTCTTTAATGACCTCATGGGTAGGTTTTTAAAGATGAGAAGGTCAGGGCATAGAGAGGTTGAGTGACTTGCCCAGGGTCACACGACTAGTAACTGGTGGTCTAAATTGAGAGCCCCCATGCCCTGTCACCCCCGTCCTAGCTCAGTCACTGTGAAAGATGACTGATTCCGAGGACTCTTCCCTAGCGAGAGTCTCTGATTTGCAGTTTTACTTCTTAGCAGCCCTTTTGCCAGTGGTTCTCCCCAGGTCCCTGACTCTTCTCACCCCTACCCACTGGAACAGGCTCCACCTTGCCTCCAGGACTGGGAGAGCTGAGATGGTGAGTGCTCTCCAAGATAGTTTTTGAAATGCAGTTTTCTTTTGAAATGCTAT